GAGAACCTACGCTCTCAATTCTCGTCAGCTGTATCATCCTCTCTTAATGTTTTTGATGCTGCAAATAGCAGCCTCCTAACTTCCATCGATCGTGAGTAGAGCTAACTAACTCCCTTAAATTTACAGATTCAAAAGGTTCTTCATTTTTTGGCTGAAAGTTTCCATTCTTTTCAGATTCATTGCAACTCGATAATGATGCATGTACAAAGGTCACCTCCATGATCATTCCATGCTGTGAAGACTTGATAGAGCTCAAGAGTGATCACAATCACAAGATCGTAGAGATCACAGAGAATGCAGGGAAATGTCTTCTTGATGAATATGTAGTAAGTTTTAAGATTTCAACTCGCACAAAACAAACCAAGAAAACCGCACATTTAAGACATAATAGTTGGTCTTAGAGTCTAGTTACAATACTGATGTGTTTTGATGCAATAGGTGGATGAACCAACATGTTCAACGCCAAGGAAAAGACAAATCGACATACCGAGCATTGAGTCCATCGAAGAACTTAGAACTCCAGCATCTGAGGAGTTACTGAGAGTGTTTCGAGATGAGAAATTGTTGAAGCAAGCCAATGGGGATGCAAAGCAGCAGCAGCAACAACAACACCTTATACTCGCTTCGTCTCTCTACGAGGCAGCTGTGTCGGATTCAAGATTTCCCCTCTCTGCTGTTAACTGAAACATCATGAGGTTTGGTATTACAAAACCAAAGAGAAGGTTAAGTGTTACACTGTACATAGAGAGTGTTGTTGCATTACACGTAAAAAAAAAACCTTTTATTCATGGAGTTTTGGTTTTGAGGAATTAAAAACATCAGTTTTTTTTATTTAATATTCTTTATTGTTTATTTATTTGTACTAGAGAAAATATGGAAATGAATACAAATCGTTATTTGGAGAGTTTTTTTTAAGTAAATAATTTCAAATTATGTAGATATTACATTATATGGCATTGAAAATTAGATAATTAATCCAAAATATAAAATTAAATCTACTATATTATATATATATATATATATATATATATATATATATATATATATATATTTTAATTGAAAATTTAATTTCAAAATGAAAACAATATCTCGATTTATTCTTTATCGAATAATTTAAGAAAGAACAAAACCTTTGAAGACGAGTTGATCCTACATTTGCGTGGAAAGAACGTCATCACAACTACAAAGAAAAGAATAAAATCCATTTCACGTTAAGGATCAAATACTTGAAAGAAAAAGGAAGATTTTTGGACTCCAAGTTTTATATATATAGTAGAAACTATCCATAATTGTTTAACATACTAAGGAACATCTATGGCTTCCATCGGTGGGTTTCATGAAGAAGAAAAAGATGGTAATCTATCTATGGTATATCACCATCCCACACTACAAACTCCAAGCCCATCCTCCTCCGGTGAAGCAGCTAGCCACGACCACTCTATTCAACCTCTTTTCTTATGCCTTACTACACGATTGTCGATTTCAAGATTTCAAAAACATCCACCTTTAGATTATTACACACTTTTCCCCTTCATTTCACCCATTGAATTCTCTACAAGATTTCCAAAACATCCATCTATACACTATCATACCGTATTCCCTTTTCGGGACAACAATAAAGAATTTGATGCCAACGGTGGGTGCGATGCATGCAACGGCTCAAGTTTTGGCACAGAATATTATTGTTGTGATCATTGTTATAAAGTGTACCATAAAGAATGTGTCGAGTCTCCACTTAAAATCAAACATCCATACCACCCTGAGCATTCTCTCCAACTTTTTCATTATCCAACTAATTATCGTAACATTGAGTGTTTATGTTGCGGGAGAGTAGCACAAACTCTAGTTTATTATTGTACCATTTGTCAGGCTATCATGCATCCATTATGTGCGATGAAGCCGATACCCTTCTTTCTAAACCAGCCTAAAAGACATAACCACCCCCTAACCTTTTTCCACAGACAAAATTTTTTAATCTGCGACGTTTGTGGTTTGTTGAGGAAAAATGATCCTACATATATATGTGCCAGATGCAACTTTGTATCTCATAAAGATTGCTTGTATTCCCCACGTATCATCAAGATATCACGTCACCATCATCGTATTTCATACACTTCTTCTTTACAATCTGGAGATTGGTCTTGTGGGGTTTGCCATCAAAGTATTATCAATGATTATTGTGCATATACCTGTCGCAAGTGTAGTGATTATGTTGTCCATTCAAGATGTGCTATCAGGAAAGATGTATGGGACGGAGAAGAACTCGAAGGTGTACCAGAAGAAGATGATTTAACACAGGATGTTAGACCCTTTGATATGATTTCTGATGGAGTGATACTTTATTTTCTTCATGAACATCATCTACGGCTCGAGGTTAATATACCTAATTATGATGAAAACAAGCTTTGTCAAGTGTGTGTTTGTCCTATCTTTGAAGGTAATTTCTATTCTTGTATTAAGTGTGACTATATCATCCATGAAACATGTGCTAATGCTCCCCGCCAAGTACAACATGCGTTACATCCTCATCTACTTACGTTGAAGGCTAAAAGTGGATATATTGATGATTTTTTCATTTGCAATGCTTGTGAACGGGTTAGCAGTGGCTTTGTTTATCAGTGTCCAATAAAGAAATGTGATTTCGATCTGGATGTAAGGTGTGCTTTAATTTCTGAGCCGTTTGATTACAAAGATCATAAACATCCCTTGTTCATAAATTTAGACCGGGAAGAAAAACTCATATGTCAGGTATGCGAAAGAAAATATTATAAACAACTAAATTGCATTGAATGCAATTTTATTGTATGTTTTAAATGTTCTACCTTACCATACAAAGTAAGGTATAAGCATGATAAACATTTTCTCGAACTTTTATATGGGAAAGAAGTATGTCAGAAAGATTGGTGTGAGGTATGTGAACGTGATTTAGGAGATACCAACACAAAAGTGTTCTATTGGTGTGATGAGTGCTGCACCACTATCCATATCGAATGCTTATTGGGTGAAGATCCATACATGAAGCATGATCAAAATTTCAAAGTAAAAGGGATGGAGGTTCAAATTCTTCACCAAAGTATTCGACCATTATGCGATTATTGCATGAATCCTTGTCAAAGTAAAATATTTAAAACATACACCTACATAGCATGTTCTGTGAAATGTGGCTTTGATATATCTATAGATTTAAGGAAAAAACGTATGGGCTTTCTAGTGGCTTATTTACCCCTCTATTTAAGTGTAATTTATGATTTTACTTTCAGTTTGATTTTTAATATGTTAAGCTTTAACTTCGATGTGTTACATTTTCGCATGTTTTTGTAATTTTTTATATTAATTGGAAAGTTCTTTGGTCTTGAAAGAACCAAAAATTAAGTGATAGAACAAAGCATTTTCGGTATTGCAAGTTTAACCCTCAACTTGCACAAAATGCATATCAAACTCACACAATCAAATTTAACTCTCAATATATCAAATCGAAATTCTCGCGACGATGAGACTATTTATATTTTAAAATTTTTTAAAACCTAATTTACATGACCAAAAAATCACTTAAAAGATACATTAGATGGTTATATTGCGGACTAAATTCGACTTCTTAAGTTCAACCTGCATTTTTTATTGTACAAATGAATGGTAAACTTGCAAAAGACAGTCATTTGCAAAGAAATTGAAGTTGAATTATTCGAAGTTTACTGTCTTTTGCAAGTTCAACCTAGATTAATTATTCGAAGGCAATCCCAAAGAAATTGAAGTTCTTCCTTTTAAGGTGGTTGGTGATGACTTGATAAACCATTTCAGCCACGAGGAACAAAATCTTTGAATACTCAACTCTAGACGTACATTGCAACTTAGTTTCCGAACTGTTCGTCCACGATGTTCATGTTATCATGTACATCCCTTATATTTCAAAGGAAAAGTCATTACAAGCGTGATTCATGTCACAAGAAGTTGACGGAATATGATCAAGTGCCTGGTTGTATATATGCTTGTGACTTTAGTTTGGATTTCTATTGTGCAAATTTGCCAAAAAAAACAGTTAATCACAAATTTGATTTGGTTCTTTTCATAATTAAATTAATTAAAATATACAATATATTACTGCTTTATTCTTTTACCAGCATATTTTTGCATTAAAGTTGTACGTTGTAACAATATAAGTTTGATGATGTTATTTACTACTCCCTCCGTATTTTAATAAGTGTCGTTTTAGGATTTTCTTTTTTTAAAAATTAGATGTCGTTTTCAAATTTCTATGCAAAATTTCTTACTTTTTAATGTTTTATGACATCATAAAACATTAAAAAGTAATAAATTTTGCATAGAAATTTGAAAACGACATCCAATTCAAAAAAGTAAAAATTCTAAAACGACACTTATTAAAATACGGAGGGAGTATAAAAGAAATATTATTAGAATTTAAGCTTTCAGTAGTTGTGGGCAAAAGGATGATTTTAAAATTATATTATTAAGCCGTCAAATTTTCTACTTTTATTTTGGAAAATATATAGAAGTTAACCTATTGATAATTTGGAAATCAATTGTAAAATGATGTTAAAAAAAAATGCATAATTAGAAGTAACTGAAAGTGATTGTATAAAGTGAAGTAGAGAGATGGATGATAAGAAATTGGAACAAGTTTCTTTTGAGAATTGTACAAGTCCAAAATTAAACGCATAACACATATTAGTACAAATTTAGACTTCCATACGAAAAAAAAAAAAAAAAAACATACGAAGGTTATTCAGTTTTATAGTATTTGTGACGAATATCAATCATATCATAATGAATTCTAACATTTCGTCATGAATATTGTCAGCTTGTGAAACGTTTTTTTGACTATACCTATAATATATCAAATATTGATGTTGAATCAAAATAACACTGATCACTAACTAACTTCTATCTTCTTTTTTTCTTTAAGAATAAAAAACATGGATGGCATGAGAACAATAGGAATAAGTAACCCTTTCAACGCTGTTTGTGAGAGAGACTGTGATCTCACTCTTTTTTGACATCTATTGGGACCAAACAATTATACAACAAATCCACATAAGCTTCTCTTTCTATTAATCAAATACCCCTCTGGCCTCTTCACCTGAAAACAACGGGAATGGACTTAGACTCAGGGGGACTAATGAGCCTATAGATCAAAACTTATGATCAATGAGATCTGAATATGAAAGAGAGTGTTTGAGACCTACCTGGTAATGTACCACCGATCATGTTTCATCATCGAAATCATCATTCACTGAGTTCTCTTGGCAGATAAATGTGTTATCGTCAACCGGATTAGAAACAACAGCAGGATCAGGCTCCCATATCGTCGGCTCATTACCCTGAGCGGTGTTCTCATTATCTTGCTCCTCTGCAGCTTGTTCAGTCTCGTTACACAGTTGGTCTGCTGCACCTTGATCTCCTTCCAAACCAGTGGGCTCATCCGTCTTTGGATCTGTACCCATCTCAGTTTCGGTTTGTTCTTCATTCCCATTGAAAGCTACAGTGACAGCTTCTTGTTCTTCTGTTTGCTCTGCAGCTTCTTTCTTTGGTCTCTTCCATTTCTTTGTGGATGAAGTACCATCATCCTCGAAATCTTCTTCTTCTCTGTCTCTGTGTAGATACACCCACAGTTTCCTCTCTGAATCGAATTGGACACAAGGGTCCCGTTCGTAGTGCAAACGATCCAAGGCCCCACTCACGACTTGATTCACTTGTGAATCAGACACATCCTCCACGATATACTGCGAGTCTCTTATTAATGTACAAACATCAGCTCTGGTCCCAATACTACCAGGCAATCTGGCGGCAGCATCTCTCACAAGACACAGAATTGTGACATGTGGTGGTCTCTCGCGTTTCAACATGAAATGATCCCGAGCTTTCGAGGTTGGCTTCCCTCCCCCTCTTCTCAGAGGAGCAACAATTGACTTCTTACCATCAGCAGCTGTGTACACAAAGGCTCTGTCCGGAATTGAGTACCTCAGAAATTCCTCTTTGCGGAAATAGGCTCTTGCTTCTTCGGAACTCTGGGTAATCGTACTAAGGCTCTTTTGTGCTCTCAGATCTTTGAACCTTTCTTTCTCATCAAGGTTACATTGCATGAGTGACAACGGTGGTTCAGGAAGACTTCCTATTTGCTGAAGAGTTTCCTGGCCATTTTTCAGCCAATTTGCAAATGAATCAACCAACTTGACAAGCATCTTGTGCGGGAGACCCCAGGCTTCAGGCGATGTTACCTCTTCGACAGTCTCCTGATCAGAAGGACCGAGAACAGGGCCAATCCAAGACCAGCATTTCGTCGACTTCTCAAATGTTACAAGTGGCTTCCAACCCTTTGCCCCTAAAGGCGAGGTTTTCGAAGAGAAGATTTTCAGAACCCCTCTAATCAAATCCTGAAGTGGCTCTTGTGTCTCAAGGATACAAGGATCTCCCGGGTTTGACTTCACGCAGCTAACAATCTCCTGGATAGTGAGGGATGGCAAGTTCCCATTTCCTTGCTGTGGCGACTTGTTATCCTCTGCCTCCTTGGTCACGGAGGTACCATTTTCTCCAGTTTCATGTTCTGCGTTCTCCACTGCCACAGATTTGCTAACATCTAATGAATCTTCAGGACGCAAACTTGTCATTGCCATACGCACGGCTGATAGAAGATGTACAATAGAGAAAGAGAAGCCAGTGTGAACTGTTGGTGTGATCAACACAAATGGCTTCTTCAGGGGCTTGGTTTCCACCTCTGCTTCACTTGCTCCCTTTCCTGCTTTCGGTATGTCAGAGGTTTCCAGATCAATAAAACCAACATCAACCTCCATTTTCTTCTTTCCCTTTCTCTTTGAGACAATTACATCATCAACAGGCTGTTGAATGTCGGAATATAGCTGCAGATCACCATTATCCTCCCTCCTCTCCATGTCCATCAAAGAGACTCTAGTCTTCCTCTTTTTAGACACAGCACTGCAAGAAACCAACAACCTGGCCTCTAAATTTTCATCACCACTATTACCATCATCCTCAGAAACCTGATATTTCCTACTAAGTCGACCCCGAGCACTATCATTAACCAAGGTTCTCATCTCAGGTGATTCTTCACCTTCATCAAAGCCTCTTTTTCTCCCAGACAAATATGGTTTTGCAGATGGTCTCTGAAACAGTGGTCTATCAATCATTTGCTCTCTTGTATGGCTATTCTTGTTTGACCTGAAAAACTCCTTCCTGTTGCTTCTGTCCTGCAACTCACTCAAGCTTGTGATTGGGCCATCTTCAAAATCTCGAGAGGAAAAGTTATTTAAGGGACTCCTATCGCGCATCTTACCCTTCTGTTTTGCATTGAAGGAGTGCTTCTCTGTCCCTGGCGCATAGATGTGTTCTCCAGGTAAGCCTAAATATTTCAAGTGAGCACTACGTCCATCAAGCAATTCATTCTCCTGCATATCTTTCTTTCTGGATTTGCTCTTTTTACTATCTTGCCTGGATTTGAGTATCGGAAAATGAGAATTATTCAGCCCACCAACTGAGACAGAAGATTTGTTCCGCATTAAGTGATTTCGCTCCTCATCATCATAGCCATGGGATGAATCCGACTCTGTATCATCATTTCCCATGAACATCCTGCTATCTCTGAATGCTGCAACACCAGACCTCGCATTTGGTACCACATTCACCCTAATCTTTTCCTGCACATGGTTCTCGCCAAAATCAGAATTTAAGAACCTCTCGTTCATTTGTTGCATAGAAGCTCTATAAGATCTCAAACTAGTATCAGGTGAGTCCCTCTCAGACTTCAACTTTTTGCTTTTACTATTCAAGTCATCAGATATATATCTGGGATCAACAGAAAAGCCATCTCCATGATTCTTCCCATGCCAATATAAGTCACCACGAAGGTCCGCTAGACTACCTTTAACAGGCTTCACCTGGTCGGCAAATGCGTGAGGCTGAATATTATTTGCATATCTACTCGATTTTCCGTAATTGATGTGGGACTGCCTTGATGAATATGGTGGACCCATAAAATGTTCAGAAATTGGTTCTCCATCTCTTGAAGATTTGTGTTTCTTTCCAGGCCTTGAGTATCCAGATTTCTCCCGGTCTCGTCGAGAACCCATTCCAAAGAGTGGATCCTGATCATCATCGTCAATATTATCTTCTGACCCAAGAACCAAACCTGAACCATACCTCTGCCTAAGAGAAGAGGGGTTGTATGCAGAATTCATACCATACCCATTATAACCTGAAGCATATGGCCCAACAGACGTTTTAGCAAGAGGAAACTTCGGTTTTGACTTTGGTTTTCCGTATCTATCCTGTTCTACAGCCGTCAGCTGCCGCCGGCTAGGAAATTCCAAACCTGAATCAACACCATAACCAGAATGACGGGCCAATTTGTGTTGTGTAGACTTCCTATCTTTTTCCTTTCTACTCCAAGGCTTATCAAAAGGTTCTTCCTTCTCTGATGAATCCTCCTCAAAATCATCCTTTTTCTCACGCATCAAAGTCTTTTGGCTTTTCACAATATTCAGGACACGAAGCTTCTCGTCAATACTATACCCTTTACAACTTGCCCAAGCATCCCTAGTCTGACAAAGATTCACCACCATGTCATTATGATACTTCCTCAAACTATGATAATGTTTGGTTCGTAGAAACAAACTACGCCCTTCAAGATAAAGCGTATTCCTCGGTTCACACTGCCCACCCTTCAACATATCAAATAGTTTCTTAACAGGACTACCAAAGTGGAAATTCCGACCCTCGAAAAGCTCTTTCAAAGTCCGCATAAACGTAAGCTGATCAACATCAGGCAGATAACTCGAGAGACTAAACCTCTCTTCCTCAGTGAGACACTCATTCCAAACGTCAACAGAAAGTATATCTTCCAAACTAGAGAGATCATACAACTCAAAAGGAATACTACAAGTAACATTCCCAACTTGACAAAACTCAGCACCAGTTTCCGCTAATTCAAGCAAATCAAAATCATCAGAACCTGCTCCAGAATCATCTTCATCAAAATCATCATCTTCATCCTCAGAATCAACATTATTATTAGCCACTGAGTTTTTACGTCTTTCTTCATAACTTGACATAGATTCACCACTACCATGTGAGTACTCTAGATCAAACCTCGTAACCTTGACGTTACTCTTCTCGATCGCCATCCCTCATATAAAAACCCCCAATTCCACTCCACAGACACAGTCCTAGGATTCTTTAACCCTAAACACAAACACAAACCCAGAACACAGAAAGAAAAAACAAAACTTTAGAAATCAAACAAGAAAAAACAAAAACTTTATAGTACCAATTGAATCAAATTCAAAGATTATCGATGAATTCTGATCAAAAGTACCTTAATTGTCACAAAAATTGGAGCTTGAAGGTCTCTGCTTGAGCAAAATTGAAGAAGTTCTTCGAGGAGGAGAAAAAAAGGAAAAGAGAGATGAATCTGGAGGAAACCCTAGAGAAGAAACCGTATAAATAACGCGATAAACTTAAAGAAGGAGGAGAAGACGGTGACGGAGAGAGAGAGGGTTGATGAAGAAGACGAAGGTGACGTGGAAGGAAGCAGAGCCGTCAGATTAGTGGGGGTTATGTGAAAAGACGAAAAAGGGTAAAGCCACAGAGACTTAGGGCATAGTAGGACGAAGAAGACGGTGAAATTGCAACAACACCAAAAAAAAAAAAAAGTTTTTGGGAAAGAGAGTGGAAGAGACGGTCCGAGTTTTTGTTTGAGTCGACTCGGAGCGAGTTGATACGAGAAGAGAGACGAGTCCTCGTGTCACACTCCACGACGACGTCGTTTTAAACATATATTTTTTTGGTCAACTCAAAAAATAATAATAAAACTAAAGTTGAATCAAATATAATAATAATTAAACTAACCATATTTAAACTCATACTGAAGCAACAATTAATAGCATTTACATTTGTACTTATATTCATAAAAAGTTTAATTTGTAGATTTTTACAGACACTTTGCCAAAAAATGAAAAATAATAATAATTCAGTGACACCTTCTATGTAATGTATACATGTCCAAATTTAATAAAGTTTCATTTCCATCTTTTATATACAAATATTGGTGGACACTATACAAATATTAGATAAAATATTGTAAAACAAGCTCCCATCTTTTATATACAAATTGAAATAAACATTTCCATCTTGACTCTGCTATTTAAATTCGGAGTGTTCTATATTGTTATCTTTTTAATGTTGTTTCGAGAGCTTTTTCCATTTTTAAGATGTGGGTTGTTTATTTCACTTTTACATCTGAATTAACTTGGACTTGTAAGTAAAGGACATTTTGAGCGTTGAATGTTTAAAATTTCCATTGTATTTAAGAGAAGCCCAAAAGGATTTGGACTTGTCTTATAGTCTTCCTTGGACCGGGTCAGGCCGAAGTGAAAAAAAATTGTCTCTTCTCTTTTGAATCTCACTTCATATGGTCATTGGTCATATGAGACATCCATACATATTTTTTTTTTTACGTACCCGATCGGCTGATCCGATCAGCCCTGATAAAAACACACTAAAGTATTTTAAAGTGGATTTTTCTCCCAAGGGCCATCACGTTGTCTGTCCCGAGTTTGGAATGTTTTCCAACTAATGTCCGAGGGTATCCAATTAGTTTAATCTCGGATAGCATGTGATTTGCTTAGACCAATACCCAAACGTAGACTTTCCACACAAATGTGGTTTTTGTTTCCGGAGTAGATCGAACTTGGGTTAATTCCTTTCAACATTTCCCTAATTCTCTCTTAATATGTTGAATACTCGGCCTTTCAATCTTTCGAACCTGGATTAGTTCAGACATCCATACTCTACGCATTAATTTTCTTTACTCTTGAAACAGTGTTCCAATTTACGTCTAAATACAATTTGGATTAACATGGCCGAGTATATATACAGCGTTTATACAGTTGAATATACGACCACCGTATAAATGGTATACAATTTTTTTCAACTAAAGAAATGGTATTTTGGTTTATGTAACAAAAAAATTAATTGTATATCTTAAAAATAAACCACCCATAAAGAGAAAAAACTCTAACTGAATATTTTGTTATTGTCTTCTCCTATGAATAATTTATTGAATAATTTTTGGTTAGCTTCACTCATATTGAGATATACAATATTTTTCAATAATACAAATAGATCATAGCAATTGTTGTCATGAGTCCCATATCTCTCGCAATGTTACACTTATACTTATATTTCATAATATATTAATATATGATGTTTAATTTAAGCATTTGATTTGTTTCATCTTAAATTATATTTTTCATTATCATTCAAACGCAAACAAAATAAGTGATTTTTGTCTTTTCAGTTTTATCTTTAAAACAAATCAACACAACATGGGAATTACCACAAAAGGTTAGTACTAACTCACTACAAAAATTAATAGTCGGGTGTGATTTTCTGTCTTTTAAGTTTTAACCGTATGAAAATATAGGTGACATGGAATGTTCCATATGTCTTTATTTTTTTCGTTTGATCTTCCTTAAGGGTTTAACTTTCCTTAGAATTTTCTATTTTTAGTAACTCTTCATGTGTCTCTCTTCCCAAGTAAATAGACTATGCGCCATGTTACAAACGACACACAATTAGGAGGCTATTCTTAGTCTCTTCTCATAGAATTATCGATCTCAAAACTTCGCAGAAGAAAGAGCAAGAACTCACACGAACTAAAAGAGAACGAGAGAGAAAATCAGGATCTCTCATGATTCTTTATCTACCAAAAACAAAGATTTCTAAGGATCAATTGGTTGATAAATGGCAGAACAACACGAAAAAGCATAAGTGAATTATATCCTCATGGGCATCAAAAATTAAATCATCGACAAAAAGGAAAAGATACAAAATTATAAGCCATAATGAACAACAACAGAAAGGTTGGGACCGAAGATTCAACAAAATGGATGTTAGAGAGCGTGGAGATAGATCCAAAAGGCGAGAGTTCCGTGAAACAATCCGAAAACACAACCAATAGCAATAATCCTGAGAGTAGTGGTGGTGGTGGTGGGATCTTGAAGAATGTGTCTAAGAATCTTGGCGTGGGATCAATAATCAGGTCAATGAGCGTAAACAAATGGAGAAAGAGCGGTAATCTCGGGCCCCCGAGCACGAGGAAGAGTGGAAACTTGGGGCCTCCGCTCCCTATTGCCCAAGAAAAAAGACCGGGGCCACAAAGAGTCGAGAGGACTACATCTAGCGCGGCTAGAGGACTACAAAGCCTCCGATTTCTTGATCGGACGGTCACGGGACGGGAACGGGATTCGTGGAGATCAATCGAGAACCGGTTTAATCAATTTGCCGTTGACGGAAGGCTTCCCAAGGATAAATTCGGTGTTTGCATTGGTAAAACTAAAATTCATTCATTTTTTACGTAAATGTAATTTTAAAATTTTAGGTTACACTCTTTTTTTTTTGTCAACTTTAAAAGGTTGTTATTCAAAATGAAATATATAAAATGTTGTTTTCATGTTATAGTTATGTTTGTGTAATAGGAATGGGAGATACATTGGAGTTTGCGGCAGAAGTATATGAAGCATTGGGTAGGAGAAGACAAATAAACACAGAAAATGGGATTGACAAGGAACAACTCAAGCTTTTTTGGGAAGACATGATCAAGAAAGATCTCGACTGTCGCCTCCAAATCTTCTTCGACATGTAACCACTTTATATTATGTTGGTTTTAATTTGAAAATATATATATAGCAAAAAAGGTTAACAATTGCGGTTTAGGTGTGACAAGGACGGAGACGGGAAGTTAACAGAAGAGGAGGTTAAAGAGGTCATAGTCTTGAGTGCATCCGCGAACAGGCTCGCTAATCTAAAGAAGAATGCTGCATCTTATGCTTCTTTGATCATGGAAGAACTCGACCCCGACCAACACGGTTACATTGAGGTTTCATTTTGATTTCATTTCCATAATCTACGAAATATTAGAGTGCCATGTGAAATTTTCAGACTTGTAGGTCTAAAAATGTAGATCAACTAATTAATGTAATTATTGGTTCATGTTGCATATTTTTTGTTAAAAATATCTTTGTGTTAGTTACATGCTTCGTCCACTCTGACATTTCTTTAGTTTACATCAACCAGATGTGGCAACTCGAGGTGTTATTAACAGGAATTGTATCAAACGCTGAGTCACATAAGGTGGTGAGGAAATCGCAACAGCTAACTCGAGCCATGATCCCAAAACGTTACAGAACACCGACTAGTAAATACGTTTCAGTAACCGCCGAGCTAATGTACGAGCACTGGAAAAAGATTTGGGTCGTTACATTGTGGCTCGCGGTAAACGTCACCCTCTTCATGTGGAAATACGAAGAGTTCACCACAAGCCCTCTTTACAACATCACCGGACGCTGCCTTTGCGCCGCGAAAGGAACTGCGGAAATACTAAAGCTCAACATGGCTTTGATCTTGGTCCCTGTTTTAAGAAGAACGCTAACGTTCCTCAGATCGACTTTCTTGAGCCACTTGATCCCGTTCGATGATAACATTAACTTCCACAAGTTGATAGCGGTGGCGATAGCGGTTATTTCCTTGCTCCATACGGCACTACACATGCTATGCAACTATCCTAGGCTAAGTGCTTGCCCTTACGATTTGTACTCTGATTACGCGGGAAATCTCTTGGGGTTCATGCAACCGACCTATTTAGGTCTAATGCTGACCCCGGTTTCGGTCACAGGAGTTCTAATGATCATCTTCATGGGTATCTCATTCACACTTGCTATGCATTACTTCAGAAGAAACATAGTGAAATTGCCTAAACCGTTTAACCGTCTTGCTGGATTTAATTCGTTTTGGTATGCTCATCATTTGCTGGTTATTGCCTATGCTCTTCTTATCATCCATGGTTACATTCTTATCATTGAGAAGCCTTGGTACCAAAAAACGGTAAGTTTATACATATACATACTAAAAGGAATATATGTTAGGAGATATTCAATCAAACTTTAGTATTTTTAAAAAATATTTTTGTTGTATGGGAAAATGTAGACATGGATGTACGTGGCCATACCAATGGTGTTGTACGCGAGCGAGAGGCTTTTCTCAAGAGTTCAAGAACACAACCATCGTGTCCATATTATAAAGGTAATAATTAAGATTCTTATATTGTCCTACTTACAACATTATTAAATTATGAAGATTTTCAAATGTAATATATAATAACAATTTGATTGTGTTTTCTTTCCTCGTAATTTTTTTTTTTTTTTTTGCCTAGGCTATTGTATATTCAGGCAATGTTCTTGCACTCTATATGACCAAACCTCAAGGGTTCAAGTACAAAAGCGGCATGTACATGTTTGTCAAGTGCCCTGATATCTCCAAATTCGAATGGTAATAACATCTTTTTCAAAAAAGGATCTAACTTACCAATTCATATAACATATATATATATTTATTTATTTCTATCATTGTAATTGTCATTTTGTCTTTGTGGTTTAGGCATCCATTCTCCGTCACTTCTGCACCCGGAGATGAATATTTGAGCGTTCACATAAGAGCATTAGGAGATTGGACCTCTGAACTTAGGAACAGATTTGCAGAGGTAATTT